ACTCTGAATGATACCAGATCAAAATAAATCTAATGCAAAAAAAATTACAATTTGCTGTGTTGTGTTTAAAGTTTCAATTAATGAGGTAAGCAAATCCTTACTGTTGTCAGTATCACCCACCTTAAATGATGTCACACCTGCTGGCATGCTTCAGTATTTCTTCTTCTTCTAGGGAAACTCCCAATTTTTGTTACCTGGTACAAACGGCATGACAAGTGAATCCAACCTGGAAGCTTGGTCTGCCTTTTAATGATGCATTGACTGATTGTGCCAAGAGTTAAGAGAGGTGACACATTCTGCAGAAATACTAGAAAAACTTTACTGAACTCTTAGTTTTCTGTTTCAGCTTGGTTCACAGTTTCATTGAAGCACTGTTTTGTGTTTCTGTTTTGTTTTCATTTTTTTAAAGCAGTGAGACTGACAGTAATAAAATGACGAATGACCAGTGTATCAACCATATCTGTTGCTCGCAAATTGCTAGCAAATATTGGTATATAAGCAAATGTAGTTAGGAATATGTTGGTAACAAGTTATAGATCAAAGGGTCTTCATTGTGTGTATGTTTACATGTGGTTATGTAGAATAAAGCTAATGCTAAAGTTATGTCCTTACTATAGTAGCTGTACTCTAAAAGCACCTTGAGGCAACTGTTGTTGTGATTTGGCACAATATAAATAATGAATTGAATAATAATGTTAAAAAATTAAGAAACAAGATTCTGTTTTAAAAAAAGAAATCAAGAAACCTCTTATGTGTCTACGTTTGATAATGTTGATGTTGATGTCATCATTACACCTCCATCAAAAACAAGGATTATACTAAAAGCAAATGACTTCCTTATTTAAAACTATTGTTAAAAAATAATAACTAACCAAAGTTTGGCGACAGTAGGACCTCATACAAGAACAAAACACATCCTCTCTGGGGTTTTATGGTTGTTTAAGGCTTTAAGTGATGAGGTAACAGTGGTCACCTTAGGAGAGGTTACACATACTTTCCCACTATGTCATGCGCCGAGTCTCTTTGAGTAGAAGGTGAATAAGGACTCTTTTGAAGTTGGATGTGTATAGAGGCACTTAACTTATTCAAAGAGCACCTCTACCCCTGCATACTACCAGTGTACTCCACACTGTGAGCTGCTAAAATTAATTTCATGTTCATGTCAACTCTTAATACTTCAATTTCTCCTCTCCCAGGTTTCAGTTTTCAAAAGCACTCAGTCTATAGCCATTGTGTCTATTTACAGGGCTAATGTATTGACCACGTGTATGACATTAGATGAATGCATACGCATACGTGTGGGGCTTTGGGGACATTGAGCGTGGAGGCCGGTTTGTGTAATCTGACTGACGGGAGGCGTGATGGCATTCTTGTATCTCTGGCTTTGTATATAGGTGCATTTTCATTGATCCAAAGTAAATCCCCGACTTTAGAGCCTCACTGATGATACAAAGACCCACGGATTAAGCAGGGAGACAGAGGAGGACAGGAGGATGGAGTAACTTTGAACTTTGCAATGACAACCCTAATTTTAAACACGTGCCTCATAATTGGTGGCAGCACTGTGCTGTGTTCCCAGCAGCCTTGGAAAGCCTGTGTCTGCTTAAACTTCACACCTCTTTGTACACCGTTGGAACACTTATCGTGCCATGAATTCCGACTCCCACGCATAGAAAAACAAAATCAACTAATTTTGTCTTGGGCAAACTTGCATCCTCTCACACAGGTTAGCCTAAATTCCTCAAGTTTCTCCTCCTGTTTCTGTACAGCTTTTAGTCTGAACAGGTGCCTGATGGTGTAAAGTTCAATGAGCTCTGTGTGTTTGGATGTGAAAGTCAATCTGCTGCTTCTTCCATGCAGCTGAGACTTGGGGCTTTTTGCCAAGTATAGTCGGTGATGTCATTGAGTCTGTTAACAACGTGGGCTGACCTTGCACAATTAAGAGCTCTGTCCTCCTGTTATTGTACTCTTTCATGATTCCTTTTTCTTTTCTTGCCTTAGAGACTCAAATATGAGATAGAATTTCAACTATCAGTAAAAATGAAAGGATAAACAACAGCAGGTAGGCCCTGAGGGCAAACGCACCTTTGTACACCTTCGCATCTAATTTCCTCATACACTCCTTCCACTTACCCTCTGCCCACACTCCACTGAGGATCTGGTGCATTTCAATCCTGTTTTCACAGAGTGACAATAAACCTCAAAATGCCACACTTGATCTCCTGTATGGTGTTTGCAGATTCTAACACAGACAGACATCTGCTTACTTCCCACAGTCCAGCTGCTGGTCCAATAATGGTCCAATAATTAGCTACTGTACCAATTATTTTCTTGGGGAACGTGTGTGTTAGTAAACACTGTTTGAATTGCTCCATGCTGAATGTTGGTGTTAATCATTGAGTGGGAGGCTGAAATATGTCTTTGCAGTAATCTGAATGTTGGGCAATCTTTCCCACAGCTGTCACCTGGGAAATAATTGATCTTAGTTGCTCTTCTTTGGTTGTATTTGGTCTCCTCGTGTTATTGCTGTCTAGATTTATTGCATTTAATCACATCAGCATATTGCAACACGTACATAATGCATGTACGTCATTAGAGCCCATTAGACTTTTTGATCTACGTATTTGTAGATGGATTTTCATGGTTAATTATTATTGTCTAAAGGTATTTCAAAAATTGCTGCCACAATGTCAAAACATTGCTTTATAGTTTAATCATAGCAGAATTTAATTTACAGAGATTGGGTAACAAACACCAAAACAGCAAATCCTCATGTTGAGACGCTGAAGCAATGACATTCTATTTATAAATTTACAAAAAATATCAAATTGTTGAATTTATTTAATCCATTCAAGAGATTTGAGACATTTTATACAGGAGCAATCTACACACATAGCACACACACCTTTATTTTTCAGTACTTCAAGTAGTTTTCAGGAATAGTACTCCATATTTCTTACAGGACATTCAAAGCTCTGTCTTGTTGGTTGCCTTTTTGTTCTGTTTGGGATCATTGGGCATTGTGGATGAAAATTTGTCAATAATTTAGTCCATGCCAGAGCCTCCACTATGTTTTCGAGCTGTAAACACTCACTGTTGTACCTCTCCACTGACCATCTCCATCTATTCTGGTTACAATTTGAACCAAAAACTTCATATTTGGATTCATCACTCCATAAAACATGTTGCAACTGATTTTAAGACAAGTTATTGTTTGATTAACCATCGTTCAACCTTTGCTCCGTGTTTTCTTTAGTTAAGAATCACTCTTTGAACGCTGCTTCTCCTCTGAGACCTTTATTGATACGGCTTCAGTCAACAGTAGATGGATAAAATGAAGGGCCAGATGGCTCTCTCAGGCCCTGTGTCAGTGTCTCCCAGTTCTTAAGGACATGACTTTGAGTTACTGTTTAGTTTTCAGGTAATACCCCTTTAAGAATCATCTTAATGGTGTAAAATAAATATCCTAAGCCTGTCAAACTCTGTGGCATTTTTTGTAGATGATCAGCTAAAGAAATTGGAACAAATTAAGTGTTTTTGCAACAGGATGGTAGAAACAAAGTGCCTAAAGATGCAATTTAAAATTGTTCTTTGCTAAGTTGTCTGTTATCTGTAGACTCAACACTGGGTTCTTCTTTTTTTTTGTGCCTGAACGATTCATAGGTCACCGTTGAGCATCTTAAAAAGCAAGGGAGAAAAAAAAAGGTCCGTTATAAGGAGAAACCTTTGCTTTAACTCTTTGCTAACAGTGAACCATTAAATACTGTGAGCAGCTTTTAGCTACTAATTTACTTTTTTTTTTAAGTGAAACGGTCACGTGCAAACCAACTGTGTCGTGGCTTGGTTTCCTATCTGCAGATATTTAGTTGCCAGTCAAAGATTTGCTCAAAGCATTTACATCCAGCTGTGTGTTTTCATTGGAAGCCAGGCAGCACAACTGCAGACAGATAGCATCTCTGCTCCTCTGATGTTGTAGAGCGCTCCACTCATCAAGCGCCAACCAGTGGGCGCATGGGCACACCCTGCTCCACTTAAGAAAAATAAACACGTCTTTTTTGTTTAAAATTACATCTGCCCGTGTTTGGCCAATTTAAAGCATTTAAAAGTGATGTGATTAACGCGTGTCTCATCTCTGACAATTTTCCAGTAAGTGTGAGTAGTTCGTGTGAAGATTCATGTTTTATGATGTTTCATCCAACCATAACCACAATGATTGTGAATTTATTTTCATCAGATACCGATCAGATAATAGTTGGAACATTCTCAGCTGAATGAAATCTCCTCGTTTGCTCATAAGATTAATCTTTCTGCCGTCATGATCTTAATTTAGTAATTACCTGCTAATCGTGTAGTATACTCTGCAGTTTACTTCATAGCCCCCATCATTTCATTATACTGTGCTAAAAAAAATCTACTCACACATACCAGACACCGTAGTACACACGTACAGTTGTAGATTCCATCTCCCATCACCGCCACCGTGTCAGGCGACGCTGTCAGATGACCTTTGTACACAGTGATCCTTCATATAACAAGGTGTTTATGTTGCTCGGTGGTGTTTGACAGAGTACCAGCAGGATTAAAGCAGCCGTGCAGTGAAAAGGCTTTGATCAGCTCACTCCTCTCCTCTCCGAACCCTCGGCGTCATGCTGACTTACAGATCCCAGAGCTGAAATCGCCCTTTGTTTCGCTTCCACCTGCCCACTGGTCCAAGGCCAGCGTATTAATTAGAGAGCGGGGGAATAAGGTGGAGCAGCTTATCTTTGCTGGTGCTGTCTAATGAGGAGTCTTTCCACAGACTACTGAGTATGGTGGGTTTTTTGGAGGCCCTTTGGTTGTTAGTGACCCAAAGAAAATGTGGTGTGACTGTGAGGTGCTGCTGACCATCTCTGTGCTTCTCACCGCCCCCTGCAAAATATCATTGTTTAACTTCTGTTTTGTCAGAACCGGGGAACCGAGATTGCCTGATGCTGCCATTGTTTTGCTTAAAATCCAAATTGTGTGAAAAGCTAAAGATGTTAGAGGTTAGGTTTTCCTTTTAAGGCTAGTTTCCTTTCAATCTGGTAAAGAATGTATAGAAACTGAGTTTTGCTGCCAATAAACCACACAACCTTTACAACAATAACTACATTTTACACCTGAATTTAGTCATGGCCCCTCTGTTGTTTAGAAACTTGTACTATGCCTGAAGAAGCACCAAGCACAGAGAGCCAAGGCTCAAGTTGCAGTGTTATAGCACAGTGGTGTGTGGTGTGATAAATGTCCCAGTTGCATGGATGGTTTACGCAATAAAAACAAATACAGAATATAATTAATAAAAATATGCAGTTTGGATCCTAGGATCTGGCTGTTTTCATTCCATTTATATATTTATAAGGGTAGAATGGTAATTGTAAAACTTATTTCAGCACCACCTCAAGTGTTTGGGTCTGAGTGTTGGATGACCTGGAAGCACTTTATGAACTTTCATGTTTCCAGAACTCAAAGGTTTTTATTGCACACAACAAATTTGGTGCCAAATAATAAATAAGCAGAAGGGTTAAAAGAATTGCCAATACGGTTCCTGCAACCTCAGCTCCTTGAACCCTTAATGATATCATACAGGCTTGAAAACATTAAATATTAATTTGCTGTTTGGTACGATTTGTTTGTTTAGGGTTATTTGGGGTGTTTCTTCACGTAGCTTGTTTAAGAGTAGGATGGCCTGAACCTCTAATAGTAGTGTCTCCTCACAGGTATGCCATCATGTGTGGAATTATGGCCGAATATGACACCATCCAAAACAAGATAAAGAACGGATATGTCTTTAAGGTAAGGCATGTGAACGGAGAGCTAGTTTTGACCTTGCAAATTCTTGGAATGGTCAAATAATAATATAATGCAAACAATGCATTATACATCTATTTATGCATATTGGGCATTGCATTCTCCATGTGCTTAGGCTAAAGAGGAATGGTCATTTTCACAGTTTAAGCCAATAAGACCCTCCTACGGTCATTAAGTTGCATCAGATAGAGTGTGGAACAGCAGCACGTAGCGTTTAATCTTCTGTCAGCAGCCTCTAGCAAACACTGTTTGCCCTCAAAACTCTTTGACAGGTGAAAGTGAGAGATAGAGCCCTGGAGAGGGAAGATATTAAAAAAAACAAAACAGAAGAAGAATGGAAAGAACGAGGGAGGGTGCGTGAGAGCCAGGAGTGTGCGGTAGCTCGACTAGATCGCGTGTGTGAGAGGTGTTTGTGAAATACTTGTGGGTTGGTGAAGCAGGACAGATCAGGTCAGAACAGAAGGCGGTGCAGCTGTGCTATGAATCAACAGTGAAAATCTTCTCTCTGTCTGCTTCTTTTCTCAGGATCATCTGGATAAAGCCATTGAGCTGAAGCCGCAGGACCCGCTGTCCTACTACCTTCTGGGCCGCTGGTGCTACGCTGTATGTGACCAGTACAGCACATCTCTATCTCTGCTCAACATGATGTACATTTATGAAGGCTAGCTGTCTGCGTGGCCTCCCACCTCCCTATGCTAACCCACCCACGGTTTCCCCTCATTCATTTCCACTGTTTAGTTTTCCTCAAGGTTTGTTTTTCCCTCTCCGATATTCACAGAGAGCGCTATGAGAGGTTATGGGAGGTTAACACCATCCATTGTTAGCTTTAAATCAGATTGTGCCAGGGAGATCATTTCATCCTGTTTCTGTTTGGCTCGTGTTCGCTCAGTAGCTGCAGTCATTTGGGATGCAGCACGTGATTGTTTCTGTAACTGTCTAGTCTTTTCAGAAACGCACGTAACATGATGAATTGCTGTTGTTTAGATTGAAATTTCCAGACGTTCTGCTTTTGACGGTTCCTGTTGTTTTATGAGCTGCTCATAACACCTGATATTTTCAGGGGTTGTATTTTACGGGCTGTCTACGGGGCATTCATGTTAAACAATGACCTACTGTTCACGTTCAGCCAGCATCTCTGTTTGAAATTTCCTGATGTTGCCAGAGCAATTCTACACCTGGAGTTAGATACGGCTCTGATGACTGTGTGAGGCAAACATATTACATGTTTGGCTCAAGCTGCTGCTGGCTAGTGACATTCTTCTGCAAAAGGTGTCAGTAGCAGAGCAGAAGTGGACGGGGGTGCCCGTTGTCATGGAAATACTAATAAAATAACAGGAAATTGGCTGTAAGAGTTCTGAAAAATTATATGTAACCAGTCCTGCTGGTAAATGGGTGCAGATTATTTTAATTTATGTTTTAACTGTTACATTTCTTCATATTTGTTCAGAGATGTCATTTCTATTACATGTTGTATATATCAGAGTCAAATGAGACCATTTGTTTTGGTCTGAGATGCTGCTGTTTTATACATTATCCAGGGTGTTTTGGATGTCACATACTGAACATCAACATTACCTAAACAGCTCAAGAGATGGCAGCAATACAGCTGTGGTCATACGTTTACATACAATCATCACTGGCATGAATGTCAGGGTCATTTTCTCTAGATTGTACAACATTCGTCTTTAATAACTCTAAAAATTAAGAATTGTGTGCGCAAGTTTGACTTTATTCTAGATTTCTATGATCCACATAGGGTCAAAGTTATAAATATTGGCTCACATGTATACATATATACGTATATTACTAAGTGTTCTTTAGAAGTTTGTACCTAGACCTAATTCTTTTGGGGGGGGGGGGTGTTTTTATTTGTTTGTTTGTTATGTCAAAAATCAGAGGATGTGTGAAAGTTTGTGAAAGTTTAATTGCCTTTGTTATTCACAACAGTTCTTCAATTTTTATTCACTGTCAGAAAATAGGCTTTTAAATATTAGCTACAAGGGGCAGTGATGCACTGCTTTTTATGGCTCAGTCACACGAGTCAAAACTGGATGGAAATTTTTTGCCTTTCTTGCAAAGATTTTCACATTAAAGTTTTAGAATCAGACAAAGATAGATGAGCTGAAACATTTAAGTGTGAAAATGTGGAAAAAAATAAGGTGAAAATACTTTTTCCACCACTGTACATTCAGAGTTTAGTCGGATCCTGATAGGTGTGAAACAGAAATTCATCCACAAATAGTGACACAATCGCTGCAAAATAAGAGCGGCCCACAGAAACCCTGCTTTTACATAGAAATATAACTAGAATACAACATGCTGGCAACAAGAGTTCAGTCCCCTATTGCAAAGAGACATTATGCAGATGAGTTGTTAGAATAGTGGCAAAGATTTGCCATTTTATCACATTTAATCGTCATGTCGTAAACAGATTACATGTAAAGATTAATTCAACCAATTCAGCTGCAAACTGAAATTAGACTGACTCCAACTTGTTACTATTTCATCACTGACTTGATGCCTTTGACTGTAGCATTACCCCTCTCATCCATTAATGTTAAGCCAAGGTGGCCAATCTTCTGATTGGTGATGTTTGTTTTCAGGTGTCTCAGTTATCGTGGATTGAGAGAAAAGTTGCTTCAACTCTGTTTGGAGAACCACCAAGCGCCACAGTTGAAGACGCATTGAAGAATTTCCTTAAGGTACTGGTGTTTTGTTTCTTAAGCTATTCTGCGATGTAATGCTTCATTTATGTATATATATATATATATATATTTATTTATTTATTTATTTATTTTTAACCAATAGATTACGCTTGAAGCAATATGCTGTCCACACCTGAATAAAGTGTTTGAGGCAAAGTCAGAGAGTGGGGTGAAACACGATGAAACAATCATTTCTGAGCACAAACGATGGGCGTAGCCGTCTGAGGTTTAAAGTTTACCAAGAAAGTTAAGCACATTGAACTAAAGTGCATAAAGTAGGCATGATGGTTATATGTAATATTCAGTCCATGTCCTCAAACCAAGAAGTGAGACTTATTTCTTATCCAGTGGTTTATGTTTTTGTACTTTTTAACTGAATGCTTGTTCTGACCTCAGTTATGAAACATGTAAATCACACCCCTGTTTAACTTGTGCTACGTTGCAATTTGCCTGCAGGTTGCATCTGTTCCCTGTTTTTAAAGCCCAAACCCTCTGTATTTAGAAAGGCTTAATCTCTGTTCCTACATTGGAAATGTTTATGTAGTGGGGCAAATTACTTTTGCTTTTGGCCAATATTCCTATGCATTCCTCATCTTCATGTCTTCTAGACCATAAGCTTGATTCAGGTGGTCACAGTTACAACATGTCACCAGTGACCTGGAGAAGCTTTAACTAAAGCATTATACATCTCCCCAGCTTTGCTAGAGCTTAGTGTAGAGATGTGGCTCCGTTCTTGACATATTTAATGCTGCAGACTAAACTTGTTACTCCTTCTGTGTGAAGATCGAATTCTCAGAATGAAAGCAAGCTCTGTGAAACCAAAACATTCATGTGTAGTCCAAAAGCACACGCTTCAGTTAGTAACAGAAGCTGTTATTACAGACGTGAATGAAAGTCGTGACAGCATGGCTTTTATCGTTTTTAGACAGTGATTCTGTCTGTGTGATTAGCTTGACACTCAGTTCAGAGGAATTTGCTGATATGTCTGCTTTTGTCTAAGTATTGAGTTGGAGCGCCTCAACTCAACTGAACAAACCTGCATTGTGTTGCATTGCATACATTTTAATGCAATGCAACACATTTTGAAGTAGCTTAACAGTATATCACTATATCTGTATCAGTGTCTGTATGTAGTCAACAGCTGGCTGTCTTGTGGGATTTTCTGTATTCATATGCTGAATAAAGGATTTGATTGGCTGAATATCACACGTGTACACACGTTAGCTACCATAAGAAAAAAACACAACGAAAAAGCTGCACAGATTAAAATAGATAAAGTCTGGTCTGTCAAAATCTAGTAATAGTTCTGGTGTAGGTCCAGGCTGAATGTTTTTGACCTAATCTATAAACTGTATATAAAAGATGGACGTTTATTTTGTGGACTTTTATTGTGGTGCCTTATTTGTGACTCCAGCATGTGTTTAGTTGTTTGTTTCTTTCACAGTAGACATGTTGGTATTCGAAGTCAACGTTTGTTCTTGGGACTTCTCATTGATTACTAGCTCTGGTTAGCTAATGGGGAAAAGACTTAAGAGGTCAAAACTGTTTTAACAGGTTTTAAAAGTATTTTATTTCTTCTCTGAAATTGGACATGGGCTCATGTGGTGTCTTTGGGGATTGAATTCCTTTTGGTGCTGCCTCTAACCTCTTTTTTTTTTTTTTTTTTTTTTT